CGTTGACGGGTAGACGGCCAGTTTTCCATTAAGGCCAACGAGGGCTACTCTCCGCCAAAGCCGGAACCCTAGAAAGGAAGGGTGCGCTCTCGGCGCTCTGCAGCTCCAAGGTCCTTGGCAACGGAGTCCGGCGGCCTTAGCAACAAGCCAGCGAGGAAGCCAGCAGCGCCATGACAGCGCGGGCGGCACCGCGGAATCCCCGCACCCCTGGCCCAGGGCACCCACAACCCGTTCCTACCGCGTTTCTCTCCCGCGGCGATCCGCACACCAGCCGCCACGCCGGGTGGGAGTTTTGCCCGGCGCCCTCTCCCAACTACCCCACTACCGTCACCCGCCTCCGGGATTCGGGGAAAATGAGGCTTCGCGCGGTGCCCGGATCTGGCGGCGCCGCGCAGTGACGTCAGACGCATGCTGCGTCCTCTAAGCCTCTAGCAGGGAGGATGCAAAGACGCAGAGCCGAAGAGGGTTGCCCTGGCAACGAGGCGCTCGGAGTTGAAAAGGGCAGCTTCCAGCTAGTCAGGCGTTGTGTGGTGACAAAGGGGCACCTGGTGGAGGGTCTTTAAGAACTGCTGAGAGGTCCAGGGAGCAGAGGAGAGCACAAACTCCGAATTCCCTGCACCACAATCTTTCCCCAGTCCGTGTACCTAACTCTTTAACACTTCTCTCGCACACTTAAAATCCTGTTTTCTCCACGTGCTCGGGACCATGAACTCCAGCCCCAGGATGTTCAGGGGAGGACCAAAGGCCAAAGCCTTCTGCCTGCCCAGCTGTAGAATTTCGTTTCCTGTCTTAACTTTCTAATTCACATGCCGTCGTGTTCAACTACACAATACATCCATATTTCAATAAAGTGCGTGTGCTTTTTAACTAAAGATCATTTTAATAAAACTGATGCTGCAAAAAATGCACGTCCCCTTGTGATTCCACCAAAAGCAATTTGGGTTGTCGTAGTAAAAAGCCCAAGCCCTTCAGATCTGTGCACTGCATTCCTTCTGTTGTCATCCCATAGCCTTCACTTTTTGTTCAGGTAACAACTAACTATACAATTGTCACTGTCCGAGCAGTCCAGGCAGTGTAATCCCTCCCTGTCCTTGTAGCTCCGTTCTTGCTTCCTGAATTACTGCGGTGGAAGCTTCTTTGACAGGCTGTGGGTTTCTTCATGACAATGACTGACTTTTCCCTTCGATTCTCCTTCTAACACAATGTAGCAGGGACTCAGGAAATACTCTGAATAAATGAAACGAACAAATGAATTCTATGTATATCTAATTCTTCAAATGACTTGCACACAAGTCTAAAATTTCAAAATTCATGATGAATTTACCCATCTTCCCCATGTGACTGAAACTGTCTCTATCCCTTTTCTATACCCAATTAGCACAATGTGTGCTTAAGTAGTGTTTAAAAAAAAGAGAAAAAAGATCCTTTTTCTTAGCTATTTTCACCTTATGAGCTCTCTTCTCCAGACTCTCCATGCCTTATTATACCTCCTTGCCCTCTTCCTCCCACCTAGCATACCCACTGATAGACTTAGCAACACCTAGCTCATGGCCTTTTAGGCCCTCTGTCTGGAGTGTAAGAATAATTTGTATTCAGTACTGCAGAGAAGTGAAGTGCACATGTTCTGAAGTTAGACCACCTAGGTTGGAAACCCAACTCCATCACTTACGAGCTATGAGACCTTGTGCAAGTCATTTAACCCCTCTAAGCCTTAATTTCCTCATCATAATAAGGTTCATGTAAGACTTAAGAGCACAAGTAAAGTTCCTAACACACAGGAAGAACTTGGTAAGTATTTGCCAGTGCAATTGTTGAGGTGAAACCCAGTTAAAGTTTGGGAGTACACTGTGTTGTGGGCATATCACACTATGCCTTGGTGTTAGTATGAGACCCTGAATAGTGACATGGATTTTTCAGATTTTTAAAAATAACCACAATTACTTGTGTGAGCCTCTCCTAATTGTAATTAAATCAGCCTCTTGTAATTTTTCTATCTTCATTTTGGAAAGTAAAGAAACAGCTTCAATGGCATTGTGGCTTTGTCTGGATATCATGCAGTAAATGGTGGGTACTTTCTTGGACAAACTAATTTGAGAAACCTGTGAGACATCCAGGTGAATGTGACCAGAAGACAGTTGGCTATCCGCATCTAGTGTGGAGGGGCAGGAGCTGTGGATTTTACAGTCATCAGTGAATAGACAGTAACTGAGGCCATAGGAGTACTTAGTGTACTCCAGGGAGAGCATGTAGTGTGTAAGAAACGGAAAGCCAGTAGTAGACTTGGGTCTCTGAATCCTGTTCTAGTTTCAGGGTTTTAATTCTCTATTTGGGGAGAGTATAAAGGGAGCAAATGGTTGACCTATGTGTCTAGGATTATGGCAAATGATTCTGAAAAGACAGTAAGTACTACGTATATCCCCTATGCCCCTACAGATTTACTCTCCGCTCCTCTCCACCCTGCTGTATAAATACTGGGAAGCTGATCACAATGAACTGGCATCAACAAGGCTCCCATGCCCATTGGATTACACTTGGGTTTGGCCAATGGGGAAACTTAACAATAAATTGTATTTAATAAATTGAATTCGGGGAGAGTGAAATCAGAAGATTTATTCTTCTGCTTCATCTCTAGAAGTTTCCCTGGAACTGGCTATATCCCTGAATGAAGGTCACAGTTCCTTTCTAAATGGCCAGATTCAGGACTACAGGTACCAAATCTCAGGTGCTATACTAGCCCTTGATTAGTGCACTGTCTCTGCAGTTACCCTGTACTTTAATAAATAGTCCCTTTGTAAATAAATCCTCACCTAATTATCCTATTTTAATGTATCACTACATGTTGTATAAGATTATGAATTAGATAAGTCTAATCAAAACTGAAAAATCAGATATTTTTCTCATTGTTTTGATTTCTATTTCACTTGTGAAAGTGTCTTAATTATACTTCTTTAGTCACCAAACATTTTTAAGAAAATATCAGAGGTATTATTGGTTTGGCCTTAATTACTTTAAAGAAAATCTTTTCCTTTTTGTACAAATTACAGACCAACTGATCATTCCCAATTATCAGGCAATGAGATATAAGCTATTTTTTAATGTTATTTCTAGTACAACCTGTCAGGAGATGTTAGACATTATCATTATATAATCATCAAGAGCCCACATGGAAAAGTTAATTTTAATTTTAATTTTTTCCATATGGAAAACATTAAGCGTAATAGTAGCTACTTAGGTGAAAGTAAAGGAGTTCAACAGGAATGAGGATACAAGGGCCGCATTTTCCAATAGAAATATAATGTGAGTCACATATGAAATTTAAAATTTCCTAGCAGGCACATTTTTTTTAAAGATTCATTTATTTATTTATTTGAGAGAGAGAGAGCACGAGCAGGAGGGGCAGAAGGAGAGGCAGAGAGAATCTCAAGCAGTTTGTGCCAAGCACAGAGCCAGTGACGGGCCAGTCATGGGGCTCCATCTCAGGACCCTGAGATCACGACCTGAGCCCCAATCAAGAGTAGGATGCTTAACCAACTGCCCCCTAGCAGGCACATTTTTAAAAAGTAAAAACAAACAGGTGAACTTAAGTTTAATACTGTATTTTACTTATTATATTTTATATTATGTTTTCTACAATATTTCATATTTATATAAATGAATATCTTATTTATATAAAAATGGCCAAACACGTCCAAAATATTAGCAATCTGCAATGATTACAAAAAATATTAGCATGATATTTTACATTCTTGTATCGTACTAAATCTTCAAAATCAGGTACATATTTGACATTTACAGAGGATCTCAATTCAGACTAGCCACAATTCCTCAGGAGCCACATGTGGCTGGTGGTGATCAGACTGGAGAGTGGGAAGAGAGGCTATGGCCTAACATAGTTGTACAAACATAGAGCCAAATAAAGAAATGGAGTGTATCGAATAGTTACAGAGTACACACTTCGTGTAGAATATACCATTTGATGTTGGAAGGTCAATGCAAAATGTAAATAGAAAACTAATTAATTTTTTATGAATCTCTGTAGAATCCATGCAGTTAACAACTTCCTCTATGATTCATAGTGGAATTTCATTTCTTTTCCAAATTCCCTTCTTGTCTTTGGAGGAAACATAATCTTCTCCTTGGAGATGTGTTGGAGAGGGAGTGCTGAAGCTTGGAGGGGTCAGGCATCGGGTCTTCTGTTGTCCTCTGCCTGTGTCACCATCTGCCAAAAAGTACTTTGACTTTTCTGGTCCTCAGTCATATAGCCTCTGTCCACGTAGACTGTTCATGCATCTCCCTTATTCCAAGTTCTCATTCATAGCCAATTCCACTCTCCTCTTCAGTGCCCAGGAAATAGTCTATTCTTCTATCTGAAGTGAGAGAAACTCATGTGTTAGTTTCCACACAGTGGGGATCATGGGAAACTGTAAGACTGCCTTTGAGTCCTTTGCCTAGGCACATCACCTGGCTATTTCTTCTGATCCTGTTCCCTACAAGGTTCAGGAGTATCTAGAGGGTGTCAGGGAGCATTAGTTCTGAGACACTGTCCTGGGGGTCAGCTGAAAAGTGGGCAGGGCAGGGCACACTGCCTCCTTACACTCAGCTCTGGACCGTGACTCTGAATGATGGACTATTCTTCCATCTCTTCCAAATAACGACTGGTCCTGGGACTTGGCTGTTGAAACTTCAAGGCCAAGAATTTGACTCTTGTTGTCAGTACTTTTATAATGATGTCCCCCTCTCTGAGGCAAGAGGCATAAAATACTCCAGCTGTAATCTGCACGGAGAAAGTGTCATGAGGTAGCAGGAAATACTATTTTTATAGAAACTATTATATTAGTTTTTAACTTATTTTAGGATATTTTAAAAGATTTTTTTATTCTGAAGTGTCAGTCAGAATACTATACCATTTAAAGTGTTTCATCACACTTAGTTCAACTATAGCTTATTAAATTGAGGTTTAGGGGTAGATGAAAAAGGAATGGGCTTCTCACATGTCTATCAGAAATTAATTCTTTTACTGCTATATCTTGGGTTAATGATTCTTCCTTCATAAAGTCATTTACAACAGGGCTAAAAGAAATGCAAAGCCCTGACTTTGTCTCTTTGTACATTCTGACAGGTGTCCATAGTGATGATGTCAAGTTATAATTGAAAACCTGTTCACATGACTTCATTCGTATAACATCAACAGTTAAGAGTACCTGATGTAGTCTTTTGCCGAGACAATTGTTAGTTTGTTAGAGAACTTAATTTCTGACCCATGGCTTGTGGAGGAAACTTTATGTCCTTGCTACTCATAGTGTAGTCCTCAGATCATCTCCACCACCACCACCGTCATCATCATCTGGGAGCTTGTTAGAAATACAGAAGGTCAGGCCCCACCCTAGGTCTACTGAATCAGACTACATTT